TACTTAAATCTTCTTTTCCTTTTAATTCGAATAGTATTTTTATATAATTAGATTCTATATCTGAAAGTATTTGTTAATTATGAATTTGAGAAGAGATTCCCTTTAATATTAGTGTTAAATTAAGAATACTTGAATTAAGAAAATTAATTTGATAAAAAGTACTGATTCCAGGTTTATTTAAAAGAATGAGATTCTGATCTTCAAACTATTCAGTTAATTAATTAGTGTTTCCGTTTTTCTTTGAAAAGGATCTCATTATGAATAATAGACATTAAAGTTATCTAAAAGAATGGTTTCTTGTGTAATAAATATATTATATAAGCATCTTTCAATTATGAAATCTTTTTCTTTAGCTTGATTAGCTTTGTTATATATATTAATGATTTGAAAGGTTTTGTTTTCATTTTGATAATTGAAAATCTATATATCAGAATCTATTGGAGAATCGGAAGCTAGATTGATTATAGCTTGAAGAGTTTTTTGATATATATAGTAATATACATAGCTAATAATTAGGATTGAGTTTTGATAATATTTGTATGAAATTGGAGTGTATAATAGATCTTGAATTTGAATAATTGATTCCGTTTTTAATAATCTAAGGTTCTTGAATTATAATAAGGTTGATATTAAGTTCTATTGCAAGCTATAGAATGTTCTCTATAACTTATAAACTCCAATTGAGATTTATTTAAAGGATTCGAATATTAGTATAACTCATTAATAAGTAATATTCGATTTTTGTTGAATAACCTGATAGATTTCATATGTTTTCGAATTTGCTATATGATTCCCTTAGCAATTCGAGCATTTTACTTCTAAGTGTTAACAGAACTTTCCTTTGATATTATATACCATATACAAGTATACTGATATAATATACTTGCCTTTATATAATCCATAGGAAGGGTTCCTTCTACAATAGATATCCTAATGCCCAAATCCTTGATATTTCTGATATTGTATAGTTGATTTTGATTTGTAGAATTGTTTTACTTTTATACTACTTCTAGCAATATATAATTACTTTCGAATAGCTAATTCTACTTCTGATTTTGTAGCAAAAGTAATAATAATAGTATTCTCTTATTAATAAGCTCTTCTGCAGGCAGATATAAATTAAAAAAAGATTTCTATAGATTTAAAGTCTGGATTAAAGATTTTGATTTCGTTGAGTATAAGATCCATTCCTTTTGTGCCTGAGAATTCTTTAATTGGAATTTTGTGAATAATGATTTTGTACCATTCTTGATTCTTTTGGATTTTTTTGAATTTAATAATATTACTCCAAATCGCTTTTTTTTTCAATAAGAATTATAATATAAAGGGATTATTTGTTATAATAATAATATTATTATTGAAAAATATAATTGCTACTGCAATAACTGGCCTTTTGATTTTGATCTTTTGAAAAGCTTCATTTATTTTGTTTTGAATAATTAAAAGGAAAAAGGAGATAGGGTTTGGAAATCTGGCTTGATTAAGATAATTCGTTTTTGGATGAGGTTAGATTTCTTTTCTATATTAGTAGATATAATATTTTTCCCTTTAGAGACTAAATTCCATTCTCCTTTTTTTGAAATATTAGTATATATTGATTTCAATATAGTGGTAGTAATAATAGTAAATAGAAAAGGTTTAGCTAATACTTTCGCTTGTGATTCGATTTTGTATATAGTGATTTCCAAATGGATGATTTGAGAGGTAATGATATTCGAAACTATAGTAAGCTTCTCCTTTTTAGTATATTCTCTAAAGATCTCTAAAAGATCTAAGAACTTAGATTGTTTTTTGTGTGATTGGGAAAGAGAGGAAGCTAGCATTATAAAGTCTCTAGCTTTCAAAATAGTTTTCTTGGGTGTATTTGGATTGTTTTAGATTTTAGGTTGTTTGTTTTAATTGCTAAGGGGTATTATAAAGCCCCGTTTTTTATTCTAATTAAATATATAGATAGTATTGATTGTATCTTGAGTAATAAAGAGATCACTAAGTAGATTGAATTCTTCAAATCTTTTTTCAGAACTAACTGGCTGATTGGTTGATAGGATAGGGCTAAAGATTTCGAATTAAGGGTTTTTAGAAGGCGGGGAAGGGCTTGAAGATATTGGGGTACCTAGGACAACAATAGAATAAGTATTTGGTATAATAGAGGCTTCAAAAGGAACCTTTATTATAACCGTATCCCTAAGTATTGATAGATTGTTAAGAGAACTCATATTGAGAATCTAGTTCTTATTCTGGTAATTTGGAGTGAGAAAATTTTATGTGAATTTTTGTATATGTTTTGTATTCGAAATATCAACAATAGTAGTATAACAATTACTGGTCAGAATTACTGGGGGGTAATTGTAATCAATTTGGTTTAATAACTATAATCTAAATCGATCGCGAACGGGTCGTATTTCGAAGAAAAAGTTTCCTTCGAAATTTGTTGTGTGTTTGATTGACATTGATATAGCTATTACTTTCTGGTAATCTAGACTTTAAAAAACTATTTGTCAGGAATGATTAAATTATCTGTTTGATAGTTTCGAATAGAATATATGTGATAGGTATACTCAAAGGAATACGGGATTATCTTCGCGGGGGGAAAAGTGATTTAATCTGTTATAGAGTTATAATAACCCTATTTCAAGTAGTGTTTTATGTTGAGATGCTAGAATACCTAGAAACACTCTTTGTTGTCACTAAGAATAAGCTCGGGTTCGTAGGAAATTATTATGGCTCAGGAAAGCCGGACTCTTGAGTTGTATCTGAAGGCTTCCCCTCAGAATTGTAGTCAGATATGAAAATACCTAATAACGTATGTTATACTGGGGCTAGCATAGATTACAAAGGAAGAGTTTGATTAATGACTTGTAAGGAAAAAAACTTATCTGATCAACTCTTTCATCTTGATAAGAACTGGAAACTAGCCAATCCTTGATACATGTGTGGCCGGTGTTTTGATGGAATATATTGGAGTTTGGATGACAAAACGATATACATTCATAAGATTGTGTGAAATAATTGCATACTTGCTTATGACTTTGATATCGAGATAGATATTATTAGAATAGATAAAGATAGGCTATTCTATAAATTCGAAAATCCCATGGAATATCCAATGGCTTTTATAATGGATTCACAAGATCATATGTGGTGTGCAGTAGCTGGTACCTCAAGAATTATCAGAATAAGCCCGAAGAGTAAGGTTGTGGGAGAGATCAATTTGCCTTCTCCTCATAAACCTATTGATTTACAATTCAACAGCAACGAATTGATTATCCTTACAAAAAGTAACATCAAAAGTAATGAAGTTTTGCTGATAAGTAATACTTCTCATAAATTGATAAAAAATACTAAAGAAGAATCGTATAACAACATTTTCACTATGGATATTGGCTATACTGGTAAACCAATACATTTCTATAAGTTGGGCCTAGAGGAACTTTGTTTATTAAAGAATTCTGATCTATCTCTTGGGGACTAATATATAAATTTTCTATGAGAAAATTGGGATGTTCTCAGAAGTATCCCTGGGATTAGAATATCATAAGACATATAATACTAGTACTATTTATATTCTTGCCATTAATATTTGTTATTTGTAATAGGCTTTGGACAACTCTAAACAGAAGATAGTTAGTATGTTGTAAAGTTATGCTTTAAGAAGCAATCTTATCACCAACGGGTTTTATCGGAGTTATTGGAGTATTAGCGATAGACTTGATGTATCAAATACTCAGCATACACAAATCAATGATTTCACTTTAAAGAAATGTAAGATTGAGCGAAGCTTGTAATGTGAATTAGATGAAGTAGATCCAAGCGATTGGAATACTAGATGACTAGAGATAACTAATTTCAATCTCTAAGTTTCAAATCTACTTATTCCCCTTTAGGCAACACAATGACCGGGTGAAATTTGCCGAGAATAGCTTTCACAGGCACTGCACTACCAGATTGAGCATAAGGTCATAACTAGACTGAACTATAAGCTATCAAACTATTGCGTGTTAGGTGGTACCCAATCAAGTATCAAGTTCTGTCCTCTAAGAGTATTGTTGCATATCTAACGGGTCTATATTACAGCTTTGATCCTGACAAGCTTTTGTGTACTTGCATCAGTCGTTCCCCCGCGAAAAGCTTAATCTGGATCTGCGTGGCACCATTTTCAATACTATTCACAAACTTTTTACCTTCAACGCACAATACGCCAATTTCATCATCGAAATTTGCGTAGGATAATAATCACGTGGGGAGACAACTAGGTTTGCGTAATCCATGGCGAAGGGCTCTGACGAGCATCATGGACTCTTTATAATAGGAAAGAATACAAATTCGGATAGTGGTTATTCGTTGTAGGAGATACTTTTTATTCAGCAACAGTGAAGAAAAAGGCATTATGGCTAAGACAAGCACAGTAAATGTCTATTTTAAACATAGTATCTATGGCGTTAAGTCTGCTGCAATTGAAACTTTAGTATTTTTTGACCTAGTACACACTTCAGCCCTGCAGAGATTGAAACGCTAATTGTATGCTTTTTTCAAACGTCATTCAAAAAGTAATTTGGAAACACTCCTCAGAGATTTTCTCAAAGATTCTAAAACATCTCGGCTAACAGAGAGTCACACTGAGGTCCGTGAAAGACATTTTGACGAAGAACATTGTAGATAATGAAATTGATGAATTTAGAGAATAAGAATTCTAGAAGATAACCCAAGTTTGAAACTCTTCTGGAATTCGAAGTGGTACTTGCACTGATCTTAGTGCATCAGTGGTCAAGACTGGCTTAGAAGACTAACATGTAGCGCGGTGACTAGAGGTATTTGGCACCCGTCAATCGATTACCCCAGTCCAGATGGAAATCAATAGGTAGATAAAAAGGGATTGAGCACTTCGAAATTTACTGAGCATCCCACAAAAACTTTGCAAAAGACGCCCTCGAATTCCTCCACTTATTCCATTCTTAATCTTCAAAGAGCTACCTCAATTTCACTACCTATCATCGTTAATCATGAATTATCCAAATTCACAGAAGCGCGATGTCGATGGCAACGAGAGAATAGCCGAGCCTATAATCCTTCGCCAACCGGGCTTCGTGAATGATGTCCGCCTCAATGTCTTCGGCCAAGTGTATTATGCTCACTCCGTGATCTTAAAACTAAAATCCAAATATTTTCGGTCAACTTTTGAATGGGGAGAGAATCATGCAACTCCATCAGGAAAGTTTCGTTATGATTTTACCTCTGTAGTTGATGAAGATGGATTTTGGCTCATGGAACTAATCAAACCGGTATGCACACACCAATCCATGACTGCAAATTTCCAATTCTCGTCTAGGCGATGAACACTAATTTATCGTAGACTTCGAATTCCGGAAACCTCACGAATACAAACAAACTAGTAGCCCCACAAACTGAAGAAGGAGAAAGACGCGCTTTCGAAGCCGTACTCTTCGCTTTTTATAATAGACCATACGCCATTCGCGACTTTGAAAGTTTCAAGGACATCGTCCGCTCGGCAGATTCCTTGTGTGCCCGTCCTGCCCTTTCACATACTCTGGATTCCGCATTCCACAGAAGTCTCGGATTTACTGATACGATCTGTCAAAACAGCGATTCTTTGATTCGAATCGCTAAACAGTTGCACCACCCTGTTCTCTTCCGGGAGTGCTTAATCTACGAAGTTTCAAAGGCAAAAAGTACCGCTGGCAAAGAACATTGGAAATCAAAGTTCGATGACGACGAAGATATCAAATCATGTTTCATTAAAGCACTCCAGAGTGTTGACCACATACGGGATTCAGTTGATTGTGGTATCGATGTTTTTAGCAGAGACTAGAGGGTTTGGCGGAGAATATTGATGGTAAAATATGGTATGATGGATGATGTACTAGAGTACCAGAGTGCTATCTATTACCGAGAAGTGATGAACCGTTTAGAAGCTAAAAAGTTAAAGAATATCACTATGGAGTGGTATCAAAATTTTCTAACTTTATTATCAAGCAACCTGGCTCTTGACCGAACTTTAGGCCGAGTCGGTGAGGAAAGAAGCCCTGGCACACAGAGTAACAAAAGGGGCTTCTTCTGTGCCAAAATTCGGGATGAAGATCTTCCCTGGGATCAGGATATTGTGGACTGGTAAAGGTCCAAAGTTTGAATGTCAATGTCTTTTCATATTGTGTAGTACACCGTCTTATTTCAGCCATATATCGTCAAGATTTGGAGAATCATGATAAATAGCGTTTAGCGTATCTGGGGTCAACTTGTATAATACCCTTTCTAGAATGTAAAAACAATTTAAGAAAGAAGGGGCTTGCGATTGATATCGTTGCTTGTGACTGTGAAGCAGATAGATGTATCTCGAGCCATGGAAGTCTAAAATAGACACCAGCAATCCACACACGGGCATATCCTTCTGGACCAAGCAATAAGCGGGAGAAATAAGAGACAGTAAGTATACTGATACTCGTTGTCGAAAATCCAAGAAAGGGTCTCTTCGAAACAACGGAACGTCAGCGGAATCAATAATCTAGTAGCAATTCCAGACACTGATTCACGAAACTACGAGGATTTAATCCAGCCATTCAATATAGCTGTTGAAGAAACAAGAGTAGCAATTTCACTTGAAAAGGTTCCGTATCATTCCGAATTTTTAGGGAAATTTTTAGGGAAATTTTTATCCTCAATATCCTTAATGATCAATTGAATCGACGTCGACGTCGTGATCTTCCGAAAATCTAACCCCCACGAATCCAAAAATAGAAACATTAGCCTGCCCCACATTACATCTTGCGACATCAAATCTCGAACAATCCAAACATCTGACCCCCTTTCCCTCAATTATATATACCTAGGTATCTTTCTTCTCTCTTTTTACATCTTCTATATTCGCATCATGCCAGAATTCAAGAATGTCACATCTGCCACATCCTCGCAGATGTCGAACTCTTCTCTACTCAATATTTCTCTTATTCCTCATTACCATTATCTTTAAATCTCGATTTCCCCAGGAATCTCCGAAACAACCTCTAAATGAACATCTCGATACACCAATTTACGAACATGCTTCACCCTACCGACTCTATGCGAATCGCACACAAGAAACTATTCTTGAGAAGCAATTGATCGAAATTGAAGAAAGTATTACATCTTCCCTTCTCGAGCTCGAAAAAGATATTCGAGCGCCGAAGAAAATATGGCAAATCACTTCCGCGGCTGAGGCGCCTAATTGGAAAGGCTGGACACAAGAGTGGGCGACCAAAAACCCCCAGTGGGAAATAAAACAATATACCGCATCGCCCGGTCCAGATATCATCCCATATTTTCGTTCCATACCCTCCATTTCTCAAACTCTCGCGACACATCCAGAACTCGAAGTCGATCTTTTTAGATGGTTATTACTTTGGTATCATGGAGGCTTTTACCTGGAACCAGATATTTGGCCTCGAATGAGCATTCAAGAATGTTTCGACATGGATTCAATCGAACACCCTTCTCTATCCTTGCCGCGACGATATCCGAATTCAACGGGGAGATATGTAGAACAGCGCGAGCGATCTAGTCCCATAAGTCTAGTGTTAGGAATCGATATTGATGAACCATATATGGCTCCTCATATCCGAGAAAAATGGGGATGGTCGAGAATATTTAGTTTTGCTACTTATGCCATGTGGGCACCGGGAAGATTTGATCCGCTATTGAGAAAGGCTATCGTGAGATGTGTTTCACATTCTTCTATGGCCTCTTTGTTTGGAGAAGAAGTAGATTCGAAGGAATCTGGGGAAGTTTGTGGGGGTGCCATGTTAACCGATATTGTCTTGGAGATGCTGACCGAGAATCTGAAAGAGGTACACAAAGTACGAGACATGGATGCAGGATTGGAGAGAAGAGTTACGTGGAAGAAATTTCGTGCTATAAGATCTCCTTATTGGTTTTCGGCTAAGGATTTCAATGATAGAAATGTCGTTGAAGAAAACTTAAGAGGATTGGGTATATTACCCATTAATGTTTGGGGAAGTGGTCAGAGGCATAGTGGGTCGGGAACATTTGGTCATGAGGATGCTTGTACAAATCATGTTTATGGAAGGAGGCCTCCTGTCTCACTTTGGCAAAAGGTATTTGGATAGGTTATCATTGGGGGAACTTTGTACAAGTAGGTATTTGTACGATTTGGATACGGAAATCAGTTACATGAATAGGCGTTTGGTTGGGATTTGAATTATCTTTCATTGTTAAAGAAAACTAATTAGGGGTGCCACGGAAGGTGACCCGCGGTAATATGATGCTAGGTCTTACTAGATGCCTGGAAAAGAAGGGGAGTGTTATTAGAGAGAAAGGCAAAATGAAATATCCACCATGGGTCTCGACATCTTTCCATCGAAAGATCTCTATCCATAGTTCGATAGCAAAATACAAAATTAAAGAAATAGAGAACGCTTAAGCGACTCAAAACATGGCTATAATCAATCTTCCGCTTCAAGAAAACAATTTGGCCAAATGTGAAAAATGTAATAATCACGACCATCGAGCGTGTCGACTTGAGACCAAGCAAAAAATGCGGAAGAAAAGCCATTCAGCAAAGCAAACCTTCCATCAGAAGCCATTTTTCCAAATAGGCCACTCTCACTCCCCACCAACTTTCCCCTTAAGCACAATACCCATCCGCAGCCTGCAAATTCAAGCCCCCCTCCAACTCACACGGATCCTTACTAAACGTAACCTGCAACCCCTCATAAATACTACTCGTGCCTCCCACCTTCCCAGCCCCCTCCCTCAACCTCTCAAGTTTGCTCTTCATCTTCCTCGCCGCGCTCACCTCTGCAAAAACCACCGTCGCATTCCCCCCGTTATACACAAACACCAATTGTACGTTCTCTCGCCCAACTTCTTTTTCGCACAGGGTTTGAAGATTGCGTCCCGTGAATGCAAAAAAGAATGCCTTCTTTACGATTGTCAATCTGCGTGATGCGAAAGTAGGTGCGCTCATCGAGATGATATCATCATTGATTGGAAACGGTTCGCCGCGCACACAATCCGCGATAAATCTAAAACGATTCGGGGCTTGAGCTTCTCGTTCCGCCAGAAGCACTGAGAGGAAAGATTGCGCATCAGAAGCATGCTGGAACACGATACCGGAGAAGCGTTTTCCGGTGTCAGAATCGATGCCGAAGCGGATGCAGACGATGGGGCCTTCGTGGATGGCGTTGGAGATGTCGGAGAGGGTCATTGTGGAGGGAATGTTGAGAATGAGGACAACACGGGCTTGTTGGGAGAGGGCTTCGTGGATCATGGGTTTGGAGGCGGGGAGGGAGGGGATGCGTCCGATGCTGTTGAGACGACGGCCAGAGCGGGGGGTGGAGGGGTGTAAGTCGACGTTTCGGTGGTTGGGAGAGGCGCTGCTGACGATGGCGGCCCAGGTTGAGACTTGGGTTTTGAAGGCGGTTTGGGTGGGTGTGGGGGTGAGGGAATCCGAGGGGCTGGATGCAGAGTTTTCGGACATGGATTCGAAGTGGGTTTGGGTTGGGAATGGTGATTGAGGAGGTAAGAGAGGTGAGATGCGGCGAGATGTTATGTTGTTTGCTCCGACGAGGTTTAAGGGTGCAGGTCTGTTTTTGCGAATCATATTTGGAGGTGGAAACTCGACTTCGGTTTCAGAGTCTGCTGCTCGGATTTTGACGATGGGTAATTTGGTTCGAGGAGATGGGTGACCATGCATGATTGGTGCTTGATCAAGAGTGCCACTGGTATAGACGTATTGTGTATTCAGTGCAGCATTTTGATCGGTAGCATCCAAATCACCGACTTCAAAATCCTCAGCAACCCGATTATTTTCCAAGATATTCAAGCAATCATCGACGTTCAACCCCAACTCATCCAAACCCAAATTATAAAGTCTCAACAATGAGCTTGAAGGCAATGCCTCAGTTGTGTAAATCGTATTATTATCCAACGTAAAACCATGAATTGAATCTTTCGCCTTGAGACAATCTTCCGTATTTTTCATAATCACAAAGCGAAATGTAGATTTGGATGCCAGATCGAAAATCATGGGACATTTTTCGACAACTCCATAGAGTTCGAATATTGAGCGAAAAGCTGGAGTTGACCATTCTGGTGGAATACCAGTGATATAGAGAGCGCGTCGTTCAAGTTGTTCTTGACTGTAAGGCGAAGGAATGCCGGGAACGTGGGTGTGTGGGTAGATATTGGAGTAAGTGAGATAAACATCTTTACTTTCTTCAGAGTAATATCCAGTAGCGACAGAGTATGGAATGAGACTGAGAGGATTTGGATTGCGAACTGCAAGAGGATTTGCTAGCAAATCGTGATTTGCCATTGTGTTGATTGAAGTGGTTGTTTGACAATCGTTGTTGATGTTGTAATTATTGAAAAGCGGGAAGAGGTGAAGATATATGAGTTTTAACGAGAACGCAGATAAAAATTGGAAGCGCGCCTTAACTTCGAGTACTTGTGCCAATTCTTTAATGTTTTGAGATTATTTATAACAATGAAAGTGAAGCTTGGGATGAGATATTCCTAGGAATACTGCGCCATTGCGAAGATCAGACCTTTCCCATAGTAATTCGAGAAGTGATATCTGAGAATGAAATATTAATATCAGATGAAGACATGTAGTAACTCTCATCTAGACTTTCCAGAAGACACTTACTTATCGTCTCAATCTGTATGAACTGGAGTATTCCCATTCAAGTGAATATCACTCTCTTCTCTCACTCTTCTCCTTCTCTCTAATCAACCTTCTAGCCTCCACCATCGCCAAACCCAAAAGATTCTTTCCCCATTCCTTTCTCTTCCCATCCAACGTCCCATACCTCTCCTGCCTTTGACATTCCTTCACTCCCCCTTTAATTCCAATACCCCAAATCTTATCGTAAGGACTTGCTTCTACCAGTTCTCTATCCCCCGTTCTCTCCAACTGTTCTCTCAACTCTTTTCCTCCCCTCGAGAACTTGAATACATTTCCTTGAATGACTATGTTGAATTTAACTTTGTTCCATTCCTTTTCATCAAAGTTCTTGACTTTGCGGCCCAGAGATTTGATTTTTCTAGGATTCGTCGTTTCAAGAATTTCGATTGAGGTGGGAATGTCATTGAAATGGAGAGCTTTGTGGAACATCATCCACCTGGAAGTTATAAGTAATAGAAACTTTGGGGAAAATGGAGAAACCGACTGCTCAGTTGAAGTAAAAGTACGACCATTCTCATCCGTGAACTCACATATGTAATGCTGAGATAGGAAAGGATATTCGGCATCATCTGGGTGCCAGAAAAATAGTGGCCCGTTGTTACTCATCGTGGAGGTTTGTCTGTGTTATTATTACAATAGAATCAAGGGAAATGAAAATTTGAGTAGAATCAGAATTGTACTTGAAGCGAAGTGAAGATTGGATAATTTGAGAACAAGTTGGTTGTTTTATACACGATAATACGATATAAATTAAGGGGGGAAGGTGCATGTAGTGAAGTCTGAGGTTACAAGCATGCAGTAGTCAGGTGTGAGTCAAACGGTGACCCCACATTCCAATTTATTTAGGGCTGAGATTTACTTTCTTTAGTGTAAGCTAGCTCAAACTTTAACGTAACAAGATGATCTACACCTTTTGATCAACTAAATTCAAACGCGGTGTACTTATTAATTAAATATGTCAGATATTGGCTGATGAAATGTGAGACTGGATAAAGTTAGATGGCCGTAGCCTATCCGCGGGGAGTTTCTCGGGCTACATCAATACAGTGCACCTCGGCTCGGGTATTATTACCTTGCCGAGTGTATGTCGAACTTGGGCACGCAGTACTGCTTTGCCGGGAAGCATTAAACCAATACATGTAGAGTTAAAGGTCACAGAGTATCTTATATAAAATGATGTTTGTATGAATATCTGGGAAAGTTCTTTCTCAAGTCCACCAAAATGAGAATGGGTGATCCTCACGGGCCTTCTTTAGCCTAGATAGTGACGAGACATTGATAATGCACAATATCTTCATATTTTTTTGACCTCTGTCGCAAATAAAATGATTATTCATGCTTCAATCTGCCGCAGTACCAGCTTGGCATCTTACTGGCATCTTATCTTGAGGAAAAACGCGGTGCTTCGAATTTTGAGGTTCAATCTTTAAGTCGTCCATCACAATACCGCGCAAGCTCCTGCTCACAGCTCTTCTTGTCTAACTGCTTCAAAGATACACAATCTGTTATGGAAAACCTGCACCAAATCACATCAGCATGAAGTATGTCACGAGAAGAGCAAAACGATATTCAGTATTACCCATCATTTCAGATCATAGAAGCTTTCTCGTTGAAATTCTGAGATCAGTAGACAGACATGTGAGTTGTCGCCGAAAATAATATCGTTTGATCTACCCAGGTAATTGTATTTGAAGTTATGAAATTGACATCGATACCGATAGTCACTACAATCAATTCACAGAAGAGATTTGCGAGGAAGGGGGGAAATAGGGAAAATGCAAGATAGATTTGAAAGAACAAAAATACGCAAATGCGTTTATGAGCTTGAATGAGAGTGTTCAAGCCTAGAGAACTATGGCATGGGGAACTCATAAGAATAAGACAGAAGTCTTAACTCAAACAGATGAATAAGAGAACTTGAATTTCAAGTACCGGTGTATATTTGTTTCAATATTGATCAAAGAGAGCAATCCTATGCCTATAGTTATACAAAAGGGCACGAGAATTCAAGACCATCTGAAAGAAGTTTCTTTTCCCTATTGCTCACATGAATGAAGAGACAATGGTTACTTGGACTCCACGTCTATAAGATTCATGATGAGAAATATATGGCTGAAGGATAACAGATTTTGAAGGGCACAGAATCAGCACAGGATTATTATTCTTAAACTGGATAGTGGTGTAGAGAGATAGTTATTTGATTTCAATCTATCGCCCCATCCCAGTCGTCTATCTGACATTCATGATGAATGGCTTCCAGATTAGCTCGGCATAATAGGTTTCGATCATCTAGGTTCTAGCAGATGGGACACGAGTCGTCTTTCGTAATTTGTGATACATATGTTTTCGTTGATTGCCCAGATGGGACTCAGAAATGCATGTTAAGAAAGAACAGTCTATTGATCAAGCGAAAGTTCG